ATATTTTTAACAACTAAACAATCTATTTTAGAATGACCAAAAGTGCAATAAACAAGTTATAGCATATTATTGAGTGAACCTATTTCTATTTTGAAAAAAAAAATGAAAATAAAAAGTACTGATGAAAGGAATTCCAAATTTGTCAACTATTTTGTTTTATTGTTTGTATTAAAATGTATATTCTTTTAATATTTGAACCATTCTTTTATTTATGTGAGTTTAAGGTTGAGGTAAACTAGTTTTTAGCAAATACCTTGCACCAATATCTAGCATAAAATGGAGTTAAATATTTCGCTCAGTGTTTCTTGGCTCTTGCTACTGCTGCTGTTGTTGTTGCTGCCGCAGCCGCAACGCTGCACACGCCGCACAGAAATGGGTGAAAAGGGGGTGGGGAGTTAGAAGGAGGCGCGGGAGGGGGGAGGGGCTGCCCTGGGGCAGGGATGAAAAGCAGAAAGTTGTTGTTGCTGCTGCTGCTGTTGTAGTTGGCGCCAGTTTTCCATGTAAAAGTTGCTGAAAAGTGTAACGCAGTCGAAGCTTGACAGAGTTAAAATGGAGTGGGGATGCGGTTGGGTTTCTGGGGTTGGGGGCTTGGTGGTCGGAAAATTCGGGAGGGGGAGGAAAATCCAGGGAAAGGGCAGATGCCGTTGCCACGTCGCCTACGCGGCATAGTTTCAACTTTCCTGGCACTTTCCTACGCACTTTCCTACGCACTGCCAAAAAGAAGACCGTCTGGACTTTAAGATAAGGTCGTTAAGGTATGGGTAAATTTAAGAAAATTGACAATATAATGCTTGGTCATTTCTGGGCAATTATCTAAGTAGCTTCTTAAGTCTATTTAATCTACAACATTTAAATGGAAAAGAAAATACAAGTCTGTGGACTTCTGTAATTGTTAAATAAAAGTAGGAAATATTTTTGTAATTTAATATGCATTTAACCGCATTGTCATAATCATAATTATATAACTTAGTTTTTTCTCTTTCTAGTGACATTTTTTTATTGTCTTTCTTTTTAATTACTTAAAAAATACATTTGCTGTTTTGATAACAGTATTTATTATGTATAATTTTCTTTATAATCACACACTTTAATAATCTAAAACTCCAAGTCCTTAACCCATAATAATTTCAATAGTAAGAGTATTTCCTTGTCGACACATTCACTATTATTTCAAGTTTGTTTTTGTTTTTGGCAAAAATTCACGCACTTTACCGTAGTGCCCGCCTTTTTATGCCTGTGTGCGTGTTTTTTGGCCAAGTACATAGAGGCGCCTTTATGTGCGCAGATTTTCCTCCTCCGGCTGCAAAATAGACGATGGGCATACATTCGCCTTCACTTTCACTTTCACTTGCCACCTACTGTGGGTGGCAGAAGGGACAGGGGGAGGGGGAGGGGGAGGGGCTGGGAGAGGGTGGCAGCAAACTTTCGACATCAAAAAGAACTACTTTCGATAATCACAGGACTGGCGCCAGAGGAATTACATTTCAGCAGGCTGCGGGAGAGTTTTCCACGCTTTTTACTGCCTTTTCGGTTTTAAAGTTTGGCCAAGTTTGGGCTGCCTACTTTTATGCGCATAACAAATTCCCATACTGATTTCCAGCCACTTTTTATGCAATTTTTTACTAGTGTTTTATGCGTTGGATGAGATCAGCGAAGGAAATATAATAACTTAAGGATTTCCTTATTAATTAGGCTAAGCGAAACCACCCTGAAAAAGATTAGGAACATCAAAAGGACTATATCAATGACATCACGATGCTGCTGGGGGAAATGGAAAAGTGCAGTGGAAAAACTGGATTGTAGAAGTCCGGTGGTTGGACATAATCTTTCACTAAAAGTTGGTGGTGCGTGATCCAACCGGTTTGCCATGGAAACCCCTTTTCATCCGGAGAAAATTCAAGCCGTTGCAGTGGCTAATTCAAAAGGTAGTTTCCACTTAAACCGGGGTGGATGCTGAGATTCACCTTTTGGGGTAAGCGAAAGGGGGATGAAACGGGATTGATTGGCAAGGTGAAACAAATGCAATTTATATGCACGCTGGATTTTCTATTCAAAATTAAATGCATTGAAAATAAAATTGAAATTAGAATAGAAGAATACTTTGAGGTACTAATGCTCTTATTAAAAAACTAATTATTTGTATTGAAAAATTCAATTTCTGATTAGAAGTTTGTATGTTTGGATAATTGATTACCTACATTGATTACTTACTTAATAAAATTGTAAGCAGCCTAAATCCAAATACAAATTTGTTAAGATATTTACAATAACTATCAGAAATAAGTTATTTTTTACTATATACAAAGGTTCTGATTATTTTACTATAATTTTGTCAAGAATTCAAATATTATATGGTTTACCGTAACTCACATTTTAGAGCTAAACCAAAGAGTTGGACTTAGGGCATTGATCTAGTTTATTGTTTTATTAAAAATAAATATTTAATTCATTTTTTATTTTGGATTTTTAAAAATTAAATTGAATTTCAATCAGAACCGTTATGAAAAGGTTGCCCATCCGGTGATAATGGAATATCTACCAGCTTTTGTCAGTGAGCAATATTAGCGGTGACTTACACCACTGTTAGCGGGACTTACTCCATTTTCTAGAGGTGGGACATCATTGATATTAGCAACCTTAGCAGAGACAACAACCGGTAGCGGAGACATCCATGTTATCGATGGATGACTTACTCAACAGTGTTAGTAAGGGAAAAACATCGATAACTCCGATATCACCGATGTTTTGAAAAAATCGATGGTATCGATGTGAGCATCGATGTTATTCCACCTCTAGACAGCGACGAACGTCGAAATTTTCGACAGGAAACTATACGTGATCATTTAAATTTAAAGGAAAACATACAAAATGATGAACGTCGTGTCGCGTGCCTACGTCCGGGGCGGAGCCCAGGTCCTCTCCACGGGACTGAAGGCGAGCGGAGTGGCCGTGAATTCCATGGGTAAGATTCTGCGAGGTGGATTCTGAGGAGGTGCCAGCGAAAAACACAACCATTACATAACGATTGGAGCAGGAAAAACCGCACTTAACTGGGCCAAAAGCTATGAAAGGCGACCAGGATTCGATTTGCAGTCAGCGTCAAGGAGATTTGGCAAATTTCCTTACGTAATTTCAACATAACCTCGCACAATAACAACAATCAGCAGGAGTTTCAAACCCTCCAAACAATCTCATCAAAACTATGGGCTAAAGACATGCGAATCTGATCCAACTTGGGATATAGAATCTCGCAGATTAATAACACTACTCTGTGAAGTTTTGTAAACATATCTTTAAAAACCACTAATGGGCATAACCCATTTACGAGGATTAATCCTGAGGAAGTTATAGGATATAGTATTTTTATGTTGATCAAACTTAGTCTATATTGTTTACAATCTAGTTTAACTAGACTAGGCCTAGTGTCATTCAATTATCTTGAAAAACAAACCAATTGCAGTTGATTTGAAAAAAGTTATGTTGACAAAAGGTAAAATTACCAGTAAATATAAATAATATTTACCTTTGAACCTATTTAACTGCCTTCCACAAAATCTTAAGGATAGTCGATACAAACTCGGTATTAGAGTTATTATTTCTAACGTTACACATCCACTTTGAAATCAAATCAAAAGGTGCAGAAGGAAAACCAAGAAAACTCCTCCAAAACTTTATAACATATCTAATAGTTTCCTCATGTGTTCCAGCTAACCGCCAGGCACACACCGATCTGCAGGTGCCGGACTTCTCGGCGTACCGACGGGACTCCGTGAAGGACAGCCGTCGCCGCAACGAGACCGCTGAGGAGCGCAAGGCCTTCTCCTACTTGCTCGTGGGAGCTGGAGCTGTGGGCGGTGCCTATGCGGCCAAGGGTCTGGTCAACACCTTCATTGGATCGATGAGCGCCTCCGCCGAAGTTTTGGCCATGGCCAAGATCGAGATCAAGCTGGCCGACATCCCCGAGGGCAAGTCGGTGACGTTCAAGTGGCGCGGAAAGCCTCTCTTCATCCGCCACCGTACCTCCGCGGAAATCGAGACCGAGCGAGGAGTGGCCACATCCACACTGCGCGACCCGGAAACCGATGATGTAGGTACCATAGAGTGGGTCGATTTGTATTGGAAAATTGGTAATATCCATCTAGAGTAAATGCTATTTTCATGTACTTAAATGAAAGTAACATTGCTAGGTCTAGAAATAGAGTGTAAGCTTCCTAAAAGCTTTAAGAAAACCCAATAGTACAAATCTACCTTCTCTATTTCCTTTACGAAAACTATGATAATTTACTAAAATGAAACCTTTTAATCTCATTTAGCAACGTGTGATCAAGCCCGAATGGCTCGTGGTCATCGGTGTGTGCACGCATCTGGGCTGTGTGCCCATTGCGAATGCCGGTGACTGGGGTGGCTACTATTGCCCCTGCCACGGCTCCCACTACGACGCCTCTGGACGAATCCGCAAGGGACCGGCGCCCCTCAATCTGGAGGTGCCCACCCACGAGTTCCCCAACGAGGGCCTCCTCATTGTCGGCTAGAGGAGCAACACCCGTAGCGTTGTTATCGTTTAAGCCCCAGAACTACATAGTGAATGGATCGATGTAAATTAATAAAAACTACCAAACAAAACGGCTGAGCATAAATGAAACATTCATTCGAATTGAGAAGGGATAAATCTTAGTAAAGGACAATGGAGATGTGCAACAGTTAAAATGTAGTTCAACATTTTAGAAAGTGGAATCAGATTTTAAGATTCATGAAAATTTAAATATTCCCGTCATAATAAAACCTGTAAATCTTAAATTTGAAGTGATAACCCTAACAGTTTTAATTCCAAATTAAAGAACCTATATTAATTTGAGTTGTTTAAATATGATTATACGTAAAATCATATTCTAAACATTTAGTTCACAGCGATCTTTATTTTTGATAAAGTCTTCATTGGATTTTATGAAAAAAAGGATCGCAATGAATCAAATGTCAAGCTTATGAATTTACATATAATCCAACGTTTAGTTATTTAGCTACCTTATTAGAAAGTTATGTAGTACCTATTTAAGAAGTCCCATCGCTTTCCTTAATCCTTCCTTGTCGCTCCAGGATCTCCATTTCGAGCAGTTGGTTTTTCAGGCGTGTTCCCTGCAGCTCCACCTGATACCTCTCCAATTCCAGTTTGTACCTCTCAAGCTCGATCTTCCGCTGTTCGAGTTCGGTTCTCTGCAATTCCATCTCAACTTCGTGCTGCTCGGCTGCCCTGGAGTTCTGATTTCGATAGTAAGCCTGTTGGGCTTTTAGTAAATTCAATTTTTCATCTATGAGGTCGTTTGAGGCCTCTTCTTTTCTTAGTTCATGGACTGATCTAACATTAATTTTTGAAATTGAATGGTTTGAGTTGTCCTGCTCGAACTGAGGTTCGCTGGAGGTGTTGCTTAAAGTGTTCTGGTGTTCATATTCTGGATCGAAGTCGGTGCTACCTAGGGATTTAAGTTATCAGTCAAAAGCAAAGCTTTATTCCTCCAAGCCAGTGTCTTACTTTCTTCACATTTAACAGCTCCACTGATCGATGAGACTGCTGAAATGGACAGCCCGTGGTTTTCCGTTTCATTGGCATCTTTAGTCGCTTTAACCGCTGCGAATTTATGTGTTTTTCACGTAAAGCCTGCCATGGACGACCAATTCCGGATTGAACTGCAAAATCTGCGGCGATCTGCTTCCAGGCGTCTTTTTTTCGCCGCCAAACGTCCGCCCCGCTTTTCTGCGTGCTGATCACATCCTTGTGCTGCAGGATCAGATATTCCAGTATCAATTCCTCCCCCATGGTGAAGTTTTTCGCACGAGATCTCTTGCTATTTCCAATCATGGTAAATACTAAATATAAACTAAGTCCACAAACAAAAACCAGCTGGTTGTGTGGCGTTGCCACCCTTTGCAGTTTTTGCAGGGATGGAAAACTTAAAAAAGGCAACTACACATTGGTATATTATGAAAGATAACTGTTTAAACTGTTTAATTGAACTAATTGAACTATATACAAATTACTGAATAAATGTTATTAAATCTTGTCTTAAACCTTTTTAAATAAAATACAAAAAACAAATTTTGCACTTCTCAACACTTAATCCAGGGTGGCCTAGCCATCAGCTGATAAGCAAAAGGTCTGGCAGCCCAGTCCATTGTTGTCTGCGATTTTAGTTTGTTGTGTTTTGTTGATATTGATATTGAATTTAAAACCCTTAATAATGGCCGAGGAAATCGACGACAGTGAGTTTTACCGGGAAAACTTCAGTGCGGATTCCGATTGGGAGGTATTCAACGCCCAACTCGGCGAAATCCTGCAGAAATGGGACTGCGCTGAATCTGACGTGGGCAGGAGTCTCAAATCTGAGGAAATCTTTCGTTGCAAGTGGAAAGTGGAGATGGAAACGTTGGACATGCTTAAAAATGGCATAGAAGTGGAGTACCATCAGGCCATCCTAGAAGATGAGGAACTAACCAAGGAGGAGATCACGGAGAATCCCTGCCTGCAGCGCACCAATTGCCATCATGACCTCATATCGAATGAAAATAGCTTTGGTCCTCCCATCAGAAGTTCCCAGGATCTGCACATCCTGGCCAGGATCTACGGCCTCAGACGCTTTATCGTCCTGCATCCCGTGAATCCCAATCTCAACTACATGAAGTCCACCTCGGAGTTCAATTTCTTTCTCAGTGCCGTGGCCGTGGTATCCGCTGAAGTTCAGAGCGTGGTTCCCATCTTTGTGCAGATCTACGATCCCAAATGGAACTTCTACACGGGCGTGGCCTTAGCTCCTGGTTTGAGGACCAATTTCAGGCTCATAGGACTGGAGAAGGCCCCGTCCGAGTGTCGGTTTCTGATGGGTCTGCTCACTTTGTTCAGGGAAAAGGTACCCACGTCGTACTCCCAGGCGGCCATGATCTCTGTTTGCACCACCTATGCTCTGGACACCATGCGCATCCGCATGCCCATGTATGTGCCCTTTGATCGTGGTCTCAGCTCTGAGGACATTGTGGTCGACGGCGAGGTTTCGCCACTGGAACTTCAACAGTTCTATGCCTTACCACATGGCTACACACCTGAGTCCTGCACGGAAATCTATCTGGTTTACACCTGGCCGGAGTTATCCGAACACGTGGCCTTCGACAGCGAGCAGAGAACAGATTTTGTGCCCTCCAAAGCTCCGCTCGGCAAGATTTACCTCTCGGTTGAGGCCTCATCATATCTATCCTGCTGCCTGCGGGATTATCAGCATGTGGCCGGAGTTACTAGATCCCTGGAGTCCTTTGTGGGCAGAAATTTCTCGGGCACTAGCAGCGGAGCTGAAGCAGGATCTAATCCTTTGGATCGAATCACGGAACACAAGCTCACCACGCGCAGAGATCGCCCTTACGAGTTGCCCTCACAGGCGGGGTTAACCAAACGATTGCCAGGTCCCATGACTGAAAGCGAGTTGAGCGAACTTTTGGCCTATCTCTTCCCCGACATGCATCCAGAAATGGCGCTGTTTCCCTACGCCAAAAAGAGCTTCAAGGATAAGGTGAGTTTAGACTAGATAATAGAGATCATAACTTACCCAAACCTTGAACTTATCCGACCAATATTATAAGTATTTTATGTTTCTTATAGATTTTCTAGTGAATACTATTATTGAAGTCTTAAATTGACCAATTGTCTACTTTTGGATGTAGTTAGCAAAATTAACATAACTTTGTGGTTTGGTTGAAATATAACCTTTACTAACAAGTGACTTGCAAAATAATTTTATTGTATATTTTTTTTGGTATTCAAATTTGTAAATCCAAACAATGGCAATTATAATTGTTATTTATTAAAATTCTAAAAAGTTTAAAGTTCAACTTTATTTCACGATGAATTTGTACTCCTTTTCAGTTCGATCCCATGAGAATCAAGAGCGCCGTTCCCAATTCTTTGGTTTGCCGTCTCAGTTGTCTTTTGGCCACCTGCCACGCCCACTTGGGCAGCGTAGAGGGCATGGCACAAGTGTGGGCGGCCTTCACCCGCCAACTTCGATTATTGTGGGATAATTCCTTAACAGTTCCAGGGTGAGTAAAACACAATATCACCCCACGAATAGTAACAAAAATATGCTTTATTTGAAACTTGATGCGTACGAACTAAAAACCAAAAACAGAACTTTTCGTAAATTTTCTAGTAAATTTAGTTTGCTAATCTGTGAAGCCGCAAAGTTAACATTTGAATTTGATTTTTATTTAACAATATAACGCACATTTATTATGGGATCGTGTACTATAAGTCTAACTGTTTTGGGTTGGTGGTGTTATCTTCCTCAAAATCGGTTGGTGTCTTCGTTTTCAGTGTGACGCTTGAGATGAGCATTTTTGAAGGACTTCCTCTACGATTCCTTCCTCCAGTTTAAGATATAAGTATTTTTTTGTTGGCTGGCAGTTTTGGTGTCACCGATAATATAATATTAAATGCCCATCTCTTCTTTTGTGTTTTTCAAGTGCAGCTAAACTAAATTTAAGCACGTGCTTTCGTTTTGTTGTTCTTCATCGTTATCAATGTGCTAAGGCAGTTTAATTAAGTTGTAATTGCTTAACACTAAATTTGATTTAAGGTTTCTTATTTTAATTTCGGATATTTGTTCCTCTACTTTTCCTTTGCTTGCTTTACAAGTGAAACATTTAACGGAATTTCATCGAATTTATTGCCTACGTTTTATTGGAATATTTGTTTACTGTTTGTTCTAAATAATTGCTCCCGTTTTCCACCTAAATTGTGCTTACTGTTCTAATGCTCAAAGCCTTGTCTATAACTGATTTCCTTAGGGATAGAGTACAGAGTAAATATAGATAGATATTAGCTTACTTCACTAAGTATCTAGTGCCAGACATGGGCGTGTTGTGGACTTCGAAGGAAATCCGGCCCACGGGCACTAAATATTGTTAACTGTCAACTGTGTTTCGCCCGAACTCGTCCGGACTGTTTATCCGGACTCGTCCCTCCCACGATAATGATACTGATAATGATAAGGCTAAAACTGAAATCGTTTCAAACGCTTAAGCCTACGAATTTCTATATACAACGATGTACAGGTGCTCGACCAACAAGCAAACATAATGCAAGCCAACAAAATAAAAATAAAACGAAAACGAAACATTTTTAATATATTTGTTTTTATTAAAATCTCACTAAAAGGTAGAAATCATAAACATAAGAAAGAACTTAGCACGCAAATGTTTCAATTGAAGCTTCTGTACAAAACGAAGTGAAACAAGTCGAAACTTAAAATCGATTTCGAACTGAAACGGACTTCAATATGAGTTAAATTAAAACTGTTCAGGCAGTAAAATGGTTTGGTTGGCTCAAAAACTACTGAAATGGGTAATCAGCTTAAGGCTGGGATAGACAAACATAGAGAGAAATATAAATGAATTGAAAAAATGATAAAAGGCCCAGACTAGAGAATGTTTTGGGAATGCTTTAAAGTATGTGAAATATTGATTTGACCTATTACAAACTGGTTATTTAGTTCATAAACGTATTGAATCTTTTAAAACTTGCAGTATGTGTAAATTACATCTTATAGGACTGGTTTTTGCTCTTTCTAATTTATTTACATATTGCTTTTTGTGCTCTCTCAGCGACTTCTATGCCTGTCTATCCCAGCATTAAAACGACCTTGCCTCCTTACACGCTAAACATTAGTTAATCAGTTTTAATAGCTATTAAGTATAATTAGTACCATATTGACTTAAGTTGTAGTTCTTTGATTGCTCAACATTATATCTGTTCAACTAATTGCAAAAAGAACTAGGGAAAGTTGTATTTATTGCACTCTAAACAGCATATAAAAATATCTATTTTTCTGTGTTACACTTTAACGTTCTGCCGTGCAATTGTTATGCATTATGCAGATTCTGAGAGGCCCCAGTGACAACAGTAGCAGCCTGAAGTAGCTCCACTCAAGGCTTGGCCCTGTCTGCAGATGTGTCTGCTGATTTTGTTTCTTCTGCCTCCCCAGTGTCAGCCAATGTCAAGTTCAGAGACAAGGACATTTCCTGCTCCTCTTCCTCCTGCCGGTGCACTTGTTCTATGCTTGACACCGAGGTGCTGCCCGCCAAGGATGAGTTGGTCTGCTCCTCGTCCTCCACTCGAATTGCTGCTTCTGCTGCTGCTGCTGCTGTCACAGTGGCCACATCCTGCTGCTCCTCCTCGCTTAGACTACAATTACATGTACAATTACAGCTATCACTAAACGTATGCGCCTTATAATTGCCGATGTTGCCGGTTGCATCATGGTTATTACTGATATTATATAAAATATTGTTAGTCGTTGCCGTTGCCATTGCGGGTAACTGTAAACGGAAGGCATTGCTGCGGGGTAGTTGGCGTGTTGCTGCCGTGCTGGTGCTGTTGCTGTTGCTGCTGCTGTTGCTAGTGGGATGATGATAAATGATTTCCTGACGTTCATATTCGTTAAAATAGTTCTCGACAACAATGCCACTTGCTGATGTTGCTGCTGCCGTTGCAAATGCCTCTGTGGATGATGTTGCTGTTGCATCTTCCAGCGTTGCTGTCAACGCGGCCAGCGGCGATTGTTGCTGCTGGTTGCTGTTGCTGTTGCTGGCGATGTTGCTGTTGTCAGTAGTAGTGGTATTGCTATTATGGAAATTGGCTGCGCGGGGCACCACATCGGGGGGCGAGGTGCAGCGTTGTGTCTGCGGCATATAGTAGTGTAATCGTTGATGTTGCTGCTGTGCTGGCTGATATGGCTGCTCCAATTGCTGATTGTTTCTATGTCGTTGTTGATGTCGCTCATTCCTCAAATGCTGCGCAGGCTGATGTTGCTGCTGATGTTGCAGTTGCTGTTGCAGCTGCTGATGTTGCTGTTGGTGTTGCTGTTGCTGCTGACGCTGCTGTTGCTGCCGCTGACGCCGACCATGCCCCCTGCCCTCCTGCCCCTCAATGGCCGGCGTCAGATATTGTCAGAAGATGCCGTCCCAGTTTAATACAACATTGAAATATCAGGACAACGTAAGTCGCCCTCATAATGGCACTAAACCGTTCCGCGTCGTCGGATTGCGGGCCATGTAGATGTCCATGTCGTGATCCGTCCAATTGTCCGATGTGTCGCAGTAGTTGTTCAGCGTGTGCGTCGATCCCGCCTGCGAGTATCTGCAATTGCATTGTACCAGTTTACCAGTTTACTTGTTTGTATCGATTATATCAGATATTCACCAGTGCAACACTAACGCATTGCCCAATGGATTTTGTGCAGTAAAAATGCTTGAAACCAAGCGAAACGCAATTAAAATTAATGGAATCAGTGGAAATTTATACAGAGGGGTGGCGTACACAGGGGTGGAGGGGGGGTCTTTGGGTTAGTGGTGAAAGGAATGCATGTATACAATGTAGTTACAGAATTTTGTACATGAATGAAAGTTTGATTTGATTGCGGCGATGGATAGTTGCCAATCAAGGCAACTGAAAATAAAGCTCAGCGAGGAAGTTGTTCGAAAGTGTTTTGGTTCGAGGTTCGAAAAGTTAGCAAATGAATGGGGTCATTTATTGGATCGAGTTGTTAAATAGAAATGGCAATTAATGTTAATTAGATCAATAAATATCTTTAATTAATCGGTTTTTATAGCTATAAATCTATAGCTATAAATAAATGTTAGAAATGTGCCAGAAACCCCACATTTTGTATTTTATTACTTAAAAAGCATTAAATACCTACAAAAAATTAAATAAAATAAATCATTAAATCAACGAAATATAATTAAATACTTGTATTTTTTCCCACGAAAAGAAATCATCATTAGTAGTTAAATTTGACATTGAGAATTTTCAGACAGTCTCCAATAAATCAAAGTCCCTCCCCATTCATAAAAAAGCTAATTAAATTAATGACCAACGGAAAGCCATAAAAATAAACCAATGAATTAAGAAACTTTCAACGCAAAAGTCGAAATCGAGTAACATAAAAGAAAGAATTGAAAGTGTAATTTAGGATGTGTGATTTGTGATCCGCGATAAGCACCTTTTCGTAGTAAAATATCACAGAGTGTGAGATTTTGAGTGGGTGCGGATTGGCTTTAATTAGTTTGTCTGCGGCTTAATTTGTTTTTATGGTTTCCATTTTTTTCTTGTGTGTGTGAGATATTCTACTTACCGACTTCCCGGTCGATGGTTATGTATGTGGGTGGCGTTCAGCTGTTCGCGTGATCTGGAACGCGGTCGCGATCTTCGGGCGCTGGAGGCGATGCTCGCCGGTCCGCCGCCGCCGACCATGCCGCTCATGGCCATCAGGCTGCTCACCGGGAGGCCGCCTCCTCCTCCTCCTCCTCCGTTGCCGCCAAGGCCACCGCCTCCTCCGTTTCCGCCCCCGTGAATGGATCCCGCATACGAAGCCCGGGACATTCGCTCCGAGGCGGCGGCCAGGGATTGCCGCGATTGTCGCAATTCCGGCCGGGAGTTCACCAAGTTCGAGGGGAAGGCACTGCCCAAATAGCCGCGATGCGAATTATTCGAAAAACTGTGCTGCGACTGTCCATCCGCCAGGGATCTACTGCATTCGTGTGTGTGTGTTGTGTGTTGCATGGTGGGTGCGTGTGTGTGTGTGATGCAAAATTAAACAATGAAACAAACGAACGAAGTAAATAAATAATAACGAAAACAAACGAGAAGGCTTTTTGGAAAAAATGCAGCAAGCTCGGAATGTAGGGCAAGCAAAGGTTCGATTGCTGAAGGCTAAAAAACTCACAAAAAAGGGGGCTGACTCACCTTGACTTGCCCACCTTGCCGGGCATTCCGGAGAAGTGGCTTCGCATATCGTCAGGCTGTTCCACAGGATAGATACGCGGCCTAGGTATCGAGCGACCACTGTACGCTGACACTTGATCCCATTCCTGAAAGAAGAAAGATCATAAAATCATTAGGAAAACGTCAGGAATTTAAAAAATTTCCGCCTGAGATTTCCAATTTTAACTTGTTCTAATTTCAGTTTATAAATAATCATTTCTTATTTATTTTAACTTATTTGTAGTTAAAAATATATAAAATTGCATTTCATGTGGCAGTTAGAACAAACAATTCCATTACCTTAATCCTTACACTTTTCTTTCTCTTCATCATCTTTCTTAAGTCACTTTAAATAACACTTCGTTTAAATTAATAAACTTTCTAATCCCAGGCTTAATTAAGAATTTTCCCCACCTTATTCCACTTATCGCCAAATATACTTTAAAATTTGGTGCAATAGCAGCCTTGCCAAAAAAGTAATGAGAAGATTGCAAATCTGAAACACTTTTTGCACTCGCAGTATTTATCTATGCCTCGCTCCATTTAATTTGTTGTCCCCCATAAATACAATCAACAGTCATCAAATCGCAGCGCTGCCAATTTCCCGTAGTCATGGTCTAACCATCCACAGTCACCCATTCCCAGATACATTCCGACAATCTGACAATCCGGACAGCCAGTCAGCCAGTCAGACAGTCAGCCATTTATATAGTTAGCCAGCCAGCCGGGAGCCAGAAGTGGCAACAATTTCTTGGCAAGCTCCTCCGCAAGTTAAGCCAGGCCAAGGGGGGCGTGCGGGGTGTCTGGGGCAACTCACCTTGTGATTGTTAAATGCCGATAGCGTTGCAATGGAGCCAAGTGGTCCCGGTGAACCGGTCGGACCGCAGCAATTAACGGGCAGACCTCCAATTGGCAGCGGACTCTTTTGCTGGCTGTTCTGAAGTTTGCGGGAACGTCTGCAAAAATTGGGGAAAAGGATGAGTTTAGCTACGAAATGGGGGCCTAAACACCCTTGCCAAATAGTTAATTGCATCATTTAAATTGTAACAATTGGAGAACAGGATTTTTTCAATCCTTTACCAAACTTTTTTGGTTTGATATAAAAAGAAAAAAAATGTTCTGTTCAAAAAATTTAGGTAAGTTCTAAGAAAAAACTTTAAAGGAAATCTTTTTATAATATTTGAGATGTGTTGCATTTAAATATGATGTTTTTTCAATAAAGCGAAGGTGTATAAAACCTACATATAATAACATAAATTTATATTACCGATTTAATTAACTTTGTGGTGGCATATGTAAACTATTTCTAAAAAGCTTTTTCTTGGATATTTAACGAATTTGTCTTGTTCGTTGGATAACCCAAGGCTAGCTCACAATAAACAAGCAATACAAATTACAATATCCTTTAATAGAGTACAATGGGGCTAGCCCTTGAAGATGATGAAGTGTGTAGATACTATGCAGAGCATAAAGCGTAACAAATTCTACGCAGTGCGATAGGGCGAAAATAGACTGTGTAGAAAAGTGGCAATGACTTAAGGACCTGCGATAAATCAGGCAGCCACTTTGCACAGGCATTGGCTTTGTCGGTGGCTCAGTTGCTGGCCATAACTTTTGGAAGGCACAATGAAAGGAGCAGTAGGAGTAACTGGGGAAACCCACCTGCTAGCAGCGATGAACACAATCACGGCCACAATAATGGTGCCACAAATGGCCGCACTGGCCGCAATCGTAATCTTGTCCATGTTGGAGGCCTGCGAGGCGACAGTCCGCACTTCGCGGCACTGCTGGTAGGGAACTGTTTCCGGGGTCACATGGAGCTCCTCCAGCGAGATGACGCACACGATGATGCATTCCTGGGCCGGGACATTCTTGATCTTGAACTCCCTTTCGCTGGCTTCCAATGGCGGACCCTGTTTGAAGGCCTTCTCGCCAAACAGACGATAGACCACTCGGAATCCCAGGATGTTGGCCGTGTCCGAATCCCACTGGATGATCACGGAACTGTCCTGCCGGAAGGCGTGCTTCACCTGCACCTCGTTGGCATCGTCGATTCGAGTTCCCCGTTGCGGTGGATAACCCAGGACAAGTGGTGGCCTCTGCGGCTTGTGGAGGCCACCTGCTCCTCCACTATTGCCATTGCCATTGGTCACTCCTTGGCGCCATCCTGGCGCCTGCTTGCCATTCCCATGGCCCGTAGACGAAGAGGACGAGGAGGAGGAGGAGCTGCTGCTCGTGGTGATGGAGGTGGCCTGCACTGTGCCCGTTCCATTCACCGAGAGATTCGTTGCTGGCGAGGCTGTGGTGGCCGATGTACTTGCAGTTGACTTGGTCGGTGGACGAGTCTGTTGGGGAGATAAAAATATAGAAAAGGTCTTATTGATACATCTGGATTTTTTGTATCTTTTCTGCTTACAATCATTTTTATAGTATGAAATTTGAATTTTTTATGTCTAATTCACAGTTTAAAGTCAGCTTTAATGTTTAATTTAAACTTTGGTGTTACAAATTAAAATTTCTTTTAATTGTTTTTATACTTAAAACTTAATTCAATTTGTTTAACCTTTTTCTCAAATTATATAAGATTTCAAAAGCAACATTTAAACATTGAACTTTAATTTATTACCTTAAAAAAGTATGAGTAACATGATTCACTCATGTTTTATTTGACAAAGTGTCGCTGAGGAACCGCCAATGTTCGGACACTTTATGCCGCCATGATATACTTTCCCCGGGTTTTTATTTTATTTTCCCCCCAATTTTTAACTTAACGATCCCATCGTGTTTTATACCTGTTTTATCACCTGCCCACTCACCGTGCTCCGTTTGGTTGTTGGTTCTGGTGTGGTTGTCGTGGTCGTTGTTGTGGGTGTCGTTGTCGAAGTGGAGCTGCTCACACTGCTGGTCACCGGAGCAGAGGCTGCCGTGCCAGTGCCCACTGTACCCGTCCCCGTTTCCGTGCCCGTACCCGTCTCATATTCCACGGAGTCGGGCGACGAGGACAGAGTTGGCTTCAGGTTGTCGGCCAGGCCAACGGGTCCTCGCAGGGCGGCATCGGCAATGTCCGGACAACTCAGCTCCTCGGGCTGAATTGAGTAGAAGCCCCGGTCCCGGAAACGTGGTGGGGTGCCACAGAACTGCGGATTCCGTTCGCGTGATGTTACCTGGGGAGAGGAAAGCCAAACACAGTTGCCAAAGTCAATGAAACAACGTTAGCGAGTTTGCAAAAGATCCAATCGGAAGTGCGCCATTTGACAACAGGTTTTATCAGCGCAACTAAAGTCCTTCGACAAATAGGGGTTCCAACTTGTAAATTTATGTGTTGTAAATATTTTTATTGAAATAGGGGAATGTAATTTAATCTTCAAACTAAAAATGGGTTGAATTACAATAGGGGACTGTATTTATTTATAAGAGGGAATATATTTGCTTTAGTATATTAATAAAACTAAATTTTTATTTACATACTTTATGAAAATAATCACTAAAGCTGTGAATATATTTCGTTTTCAATAAATATTTTGGTTTCGTTACAAGTTAATAACATTTGCAATGGAAGTATAAAGTTAAAAAGAAGTCATACTTTGTGGGGCATTTAACAATCTATAATTACTTATAGTATTGTATTTAAATCTTCAAACCAAACATTTTAAATTAAATTGCCAATTCATTATCTTTTGTTTGTAAATAAAACACGTTCCCATTTTTCGGTTTATAAAGCTAATAAAAACTGAATATAATTCCTAAGTTGAAAATAATTAAAGTGGCACCCCAGATGCTTGAATCTGTACCCCGGATCTGTGGATCCACTCACCTGCAAGTCGCCGTTGCGAATCCACTCGGCCACCCATCGCAGCTTGCAGTCGCAGTGGAGGAATCGGCCTCCGAGCGAAAGTCCTCGCAGGGTGGCGTTCAGATGGGAGAAGGCGCCTTCGGGCACGCTGCTCAGGGGATTTCCGTCCAGGGCCAGCAGCGTGATTCCGGGATTGCCCCGGAAGGCGGCCTCCGGCAGAGTGGTCAGCAGATTGAAGCCAATGTCCAGGACTCGCAGTTCCTTCAGCGAGTGGACCGCTCCGATGGGAAATTCGGCCAGCAGGTTGTTGAGCAAACTCAGCGAACTCAATGTTTTTCGCACTCCCGCGAATGCCGTTTCGCCGATGCTCTGGATGAGATTCCTTTCCAAATTCAAGGCTGTCAGTGCATCCAGACCATCGAAAACTCGAATTCCACCCGAACCTGGCAGCTCTTTGATGCCATTCTGTGAGAGATCGAGGAAGGCCAGACTCTTTAGTCCCCTAATACTTTCCGGCACCTTTCGCTGTTTGGTTCCCTTCAGATTCAGGTTCTTGAGACTCGGTTCCAGTCCCCTGAATGCATTGCTTGCCAGGGTTACATTGTTGTCGTTCAGTTTGAGCGTGGAGAGCTTTGTCAGACCCACAAAGGCATCGTCGGGTATTTGGCTGAGCTGATTTTTGGACAGATCCAGCAGGTTCAGCTTGCCCAGCACCTTTAGCGCCTCAACTGGCACATCGGCTAGGAGATTATCCTGCAGATTGAGGTTCCGCAGCACTGACTCCTGGCCCTTGAAGGCACCCCTCGCAATCCTCTGAATTCCACAACTTGAGAGCTGCACATTGTGCAGGCTCAAATTGCTGAAAATGGCCTCTGGCAGCTCCACAATCGTGGAGTTGTTTACGTACAGCAAGTCCACGGGTTTCAGCCTGGCATGAGTGTTCATCGCTTCCAGGAGTTGCGGGAAATCCACCTGAAAAAGGTTTACAGTTTAATAAAAAAAATCTTAGAAGCTATTTTTAGTTATTAGGTTAAAATGCCTAAGATTTGTCAGTACTAAAGATTTATCAAAAATTTAATATGTACAAATCAAGATGCACGTGTTTAACCAGTTTTTTAATTAATTTAATCATAGTTAAGATTAAGCAATTTTGAGTATATTAAATTTACTTTTGTATACAAGTAGTAGTAAAAGAGTAAATTTAAATTATAGTTCTTTATGTGGTCATTTCTAATGATGCTAACAGAACATCAACACTTATATTTAATTGGTAAATCTAAAAATGGTTGTCAATAGGTATTATTATTGAAGAAGTTCTTGATTTGACTTTCCAATGTAAATGAAATCAATTTAATCAAGGCCCTAGATGCTCCCAGAATTCATTAATATCGAACATGAAATCGATATCCATTTGCCAAATCTCACCTGATCACATTGCACGGACAGCTCCCTGCCCAAGTTGTAGGCGCAGATGCAGCTCGTCTGCAGGTCGGGCACATCCCTCTGCCAAGGACACTGGGCGTGGGCCAAGTGGACATTTCCCAGGATTAGTGGGAGTAGCAGGAGCAGGGGCGTGGTCGCTGCTGTTGTTGCTTTTGTCGTTCGGCCTGGTCTCATCTTGGTGCCGGCATAGAGCTGCAAATAAATGGAAGAAGACAGCGTTTCAGTTAGAGAGAGTGAATCTCGGGGCTCAATGAAAAAGTGAAGGTTGTCTGGGCCAGTCGGGCCATAAATTACCCAATTAATACTGTCGCCTGGCAGGCAAATCTCCTTCCCTATTTTCTAGTATCTTCCATTGGTCAGTTGGTCAACACTTGGGATTGAGGTAAATGTATAAGACAGGAAGTGCACAGAGAAAAATAATAACCCCATTCCCAATATTATTATTTCGCAATAATTTCGAAATATTTTTCTGGCAATGAATTATTATTTAGTTAGGATTACAATTTAATTTGTTATTATCAAATGATAGTAAATATTTAAATCTACAAGTTTTAAGACTAAAATATTTCTATAAAAGAAATATAAGAATGATTTCAAGACAACAGATTTTCTGAACGAAATTTTAATAGCGAAAAAGAGATATAAAAGTATTTTAATAGCAAAATACAGCATCTTTTTTCTCCTCATGGGAAGTGCAAGTGGGCAAGCTTTATCAATCAGTTTTGGCAGGCTACTTTCAATTTCATTTTCATGCTCGTTAGACAACAAACAGTGCGTGAAAGGAGAGCCCCTTCCTCGTTATCCTTGGGGCAGTTTAGTTTTGATTAATTTGCCCGTCTGCCTGGCTGCGCCTGTCAAACGAGGTGCTTCAGTTCCCAGTCACTTTTCTCGCTCCTCCTTTAGGCCATAAAATGGGCATAAAAACGAGGATGCCAGGATGAAAAGCAAGACGTAGCGAAAGTTAATCCTTTGCATCCCTTTTGGGTCTCTGGACTCTTTCAAAGGACCAACCGCCAAACGCAAAAAAAATAAAAAGTGTTACGCGGCGCAGCTTTTTGTTAGGCGTTTAATTTAATTTGACCGAGTCATAAAAAAGCCAAGCACGTGATATTTCCCCCTTTTCACTGCTTAACCAGTAGGCTTTTGACCCCCTTTAACCCCCCACTTTGACCCCCTTTACCCCCTTTTTCGACAACAATGCAAACATTGGCTAGTAACTTAAGGGTCAGCAAAGAAGCTGTTGACCTTTTTGCATAATCATGAGTTATGATGACACACAGTTTTCGCCGCCTTTCTCCCTTTTTCGGTTGTTATTGTTTGAGACAATTTTTTATTCTCGCAGATCATTGTTCTATTATGTGATTTCAAGCAGAAATTTTGAAGGAGGAAGAAGAACAGGTGAATGGACTTTCGGTTATTTTTTTAAAGCAAATCAATCTAGATAAAGATTAAATATAAAGATTAATAGATTTTGATTTAAAATAATGGGTAAGCAACATTTTGTTAATTTAATTGTATTGTAACCATAAATAAAATCATTAAACAAAACTTTTTTTAAATGTCTTTCAATTGTGAAAAAAACTATTAGTCATTCAAGTTGAATAATCTCATCAGTAAACTAATGCTGCAATTCGTGCCCTAATCAATTAAACAATCCAATTTACTTGTACAAATTTCCTGTATAATTTCAAATCAAAGCAAAGTTTGTGGAGATTTCTCTCGAATGCAAATTAAAGTACCCCGTCCACTTTATCGCTCCTCTGCGGCTCCCAGATAAACCGCAGAATAATAATTAAACTGCACGCTTCGCTGCATCCCAAATAATAATCAACATTTTGTCTTTTGATTGATAGTTTTTTCTTCATCTCGGCAGCTGTGTCACGCCTCCCTGAATCCGAAAGATACTTCCCCTGCCGAGGCTGATGTTTCAATTGTCCGTTGCGCCTGACTTCATTTTTCATGGCATTTTGGGTTTTTGTTGGGTTGTCTCTTCCTTAATTCAACTTATAAATTGCATTACGTGGCTAAATCGGATAAAAAGGAGGTGGAGGCAGAAAAATATTTCAAGCTCCACTGTGCACTCCCCACTTTTTCCAGCTCTTTCTCTTTATGCCCTATGCTCGCTTCTCATTTCTCATTTCTCACTCAACTGTCTGGCCACAAATTTAATTAAAAAATTCTTGCACCATTTTATTCCCTTTCTTTTATTCGCGCCGAGTCGCCTTTTGTTGTTTTTCTTCTGCGTATTAATTGCATCACTAAATTTTTTAATGCGCGAAAAGTGCGAAAATTGCAGCGGGAAAACAAAGGAAGAACTGCAGCACTGACTGAGTGAATAAATGAAAAACGAATCGGGTACAGTTGGGCAGCAAAAAAAGAAATTAAAAAAATTTATATTTTTAAAAGTTCGGTTTATTTAAATACCCTTTAAAAATACAAAATTGATTGTTCTTCAAAATGTATTTGTATTTAAAATAACAAAAATATTAGCAAGCTTAAAAAATGAAAATACATTTCTAAAACTTTGTTAAATGTTTTTTATTTTTCCTTATTAAAAACGGCTTAAGCAAAAAATAAGTTTTCAATTATTATTTTAATTGTGTTTAAGTTTCAAGTTTGGAACAACAGCTTTTGATCCTTTAACATTTTATTCTGGCATTTTTCAACTCTTCCCCAGGGTATTTACCAAAATTGCAACTTTTTGTTTTCCCACCCGAAAACTTGAAAGGTGCAAATGATTTTTCTATCCCACTCACTCAGTGGTTGTTTCTTTTGTTGTGGCCGCATAATTATTCACTCTTTTTTTTTTTATTTGGTGGTCGGTGGCTTGGCAAATTTGCATTTTTAGACAATGGTCCAGCGGTTAATTTTTTCTTTCTGTTTTTGTTTTGCTAGATTTTTTGTTATCCACCTGCCTTTCGGGCCAAGTTGGGCAATCTTCTGCTCCCATCACACACCTCTAGGCACAAAAATGTTTTAATTGAAGTTTTATTTAACAAAAGCCGGGCATACTTCTTGTGGGCGTGGATTTGGGGCGACCATGGGTGTCTGGGCTTAAGGTCACATAATGCTGTTAAGCATTTAAGTGGATTAGAATTTCTGAGGTTGGAAAAAGTGAATTTGCTTTTTTTTCGCTCTTGTGGGAAAAGTTGTCAACTGAAAAGTTTATATATAGATGGGATTATATATAGAACTGGTTGGTTTTTGGGTTGGAGTGAGTGGCTAGGTGTGAGTGCGTAGGTTGATAATCTTTTGGGTCAGCTTAGCCACAGGAATTAAATTGTGACCGACAGAGAAAAAACTGGGTTGCTGTTTGAGCTTCGACCAATGAAGTTTGAACGCTTTTTTGGGGCATATTAATTTTGTATTTTGAGGGGAGAATTAACTTTTCCCTTGGTGCTGAAAAGGTTCTATAAAGGTATTTAGGAATATTCAAAGAGGGTCGAGATTGAGGTAGTGTGTTGAACATTGAAAAGTCAAATGGCCATTTGATATGATTGAAAAGTTTATTTTATATAAGCAAATATTAAATCGAATCCTCTAGATTGCCTTACCACAAGCTGCTTGAATTATCCAATAAATTCTTTGAAAATCCTAGCTAGCTAAAATGTACACTTAAACATTCTAGTTTTTTGCGAACTCACTTTCGTTGGGAGGCCAAAAAACAATTTCCATTTAACCGCAGCTTATCCTTCTGGCCATGAAAGTCGCCCAAACTATTATGTCTGCCACACAAAAATAAACGTAATACGGGCTAGTTTATTGTACTAGATGAAAATGGTGATGCCGGAAAACATAGACATAGAACTAATGACTTGGAGAACATACGATGTTTTTATTTCATTGCAGCTAAAACGAAAGTGTCGAGGAGAGTGGGCATTATCAAGTGGCCAGCATTAGGTCAATAAAAGCCAAGAGCCATTTGTCAGCTAGCTCCGGTCTCCTGCTGCCTTGTTGAGTGCAATTTTAGCCACTTTAAAAACCTTTTAAGCAGCTGCTCCTTCCCCGCAGCTGTCCACGCAGCCACTAATAAGGCAACTTTTATGCAAATGCCAAGTGCAGCAGCTCCGAGGCTCCCTTTTTTCGGAGGGGAGCTCCCTTTTCCGTTTTCGGGTTGGCCAACATCCGCTGTCGTGGTCCAAATAACTCACTTCCCCTTGTCCAATGCAGCCCAAGTACCCACTCCACACTCCACACTCTACACTCCACTCCCAGGGTTCAGCGAACTCTTTCGACTGAGTCACCTCCACTTCGGGACGGGACTCATTGGCTATGCAAGACCATAGGGCCACGCACGCGTTGACAGCCATGATGAGCGTGAATATCAATTGGTTGAGCAGGCGGGGTATACAGTCGCATAGTTTTACCCTGATGTATGCATAGCAGCTTGGCGTTTGTCGCCTTTGTCGGGTTTATTGTCAAGAAGCTGACTGAGATTGCCCCAAAGAATGTGACTGATATGCCCGCGAGGCGGAGGATGATTTGGCCCAGGTGAGGGCATGGCAAGACAGCCATGAAAAGGTTGAAACGATTAAGACGCAGATGAAATCTTAAACGCATAATGCCCAAGATGAAGACTGTGATTCGCAGAAGAAGTGAACTCTGAAGCTCACTGAAAATATTATAATAATAAGATGATACGATATGATATGTGTAAGGACTTAAACTTCTTCTTTTTATAAGATAATAAATATGATAAGGTCATAGAATTCATCAGACAGACGTCAAATAAATGTAGACTAGGCTTAATAACGTAACAAAAAGCTAGTTTTAGTTGGGATTAGAGAAGAAATACGATATACTTAAATATTAAAAAAAAATACTTAATGAAATCAATTAAAGCGAATAAATCGCGTCAGAACAACATAAGTCTAATTAATTAGGTGTATGTATCAACACCCCTGCTTGTGCTCTCAACATGCTAACACTTCTAATTCCTCTGAATTTCCCCAGAGTTTCCGCTGGCTTTCCCGACACGCGCACCTGCCTCCTCCACCAAAAGCTGCAGATGCTCAACGTTTGCGTGAAACGTCGCGTGCAACGGGAGGCGAATAGCAAACTAAAATCTGAGGGGATGGTGAGAAAAGTCAGTTCCGAAGAGGAGGAGGACGACGAGGAGGACGAGGGCGAGTTCTTCGACTGCGATGATCTGACTGCCGGTTCTGGTGCTCCCACGAAGGCAGTTCTTAGCCTAAAACCCGAGGGTCGACTGAGCCGTTTAAACAATGAGCGATTGCTGGAGGAACCGGAGGAGTATATATATGTCCCACAGACCCAGGAACCTGTGCCAAAAACCGAAGATCAGCTGCAGGACGATGCCGAGGTCATGCTGAAATTGGGACCCGGTTCCGGCTTGACCACCCAAATGATGTGCACTTCGTTGCTATCCGACATGGAAGCCTTTAAGGCCGCCAATCCCAGGGGCATAATGGAGGACTTTATTCGCTGGTACAGTCCCAAAGATTGGGAGGAGGTCACTGATGGTAGGGGATATTAATCTTACCTAGAAACTCTTAATCAATGTGCTACATTTTCTTTCAGAATTGGGTGAGGTGAAACATCAGTTAAGCGTAAGAATGACTACTGAGGGCAATACCTGGCAGAAAGTCTGGGAACAGGCCCAAGCGGTTCCTATAACCAGACAGAAAAGACTATTCGATGACACCAACGAAGCTTTAAAGGTACTTCACTATATGGAGACCCGTAAAATGCACGAGATCTACAATCTGACCATAGTTCCCTTACTACATTCGTCTATATTGAAACTTATAGTAAGTATTTTTAAACTCTTTCAGGAAATCTTTATTTACAAATTCCTTAAACATTGTTCTTACAGGACATTCTAAGCAATGCCGACGTAGAGGATTTATTTTGCTCACAGATCGAGCGACTTCTCACCGATTTGTGTCGACTGTCACGCTCACATTCTGATCAACTTCCCCCAATAAAACCATTACTAGATGACTTGGCTGAACTGGAACGTCGCTTCTACCAATTCAAATGCTTCGAACGGCTTTCGGGATATCCAAAAAAGAGCTCTCTTCGCCAAGTTAAACTTCAGTTCGAGGAAATCCTTCGCAATGAGAATTGTTGCACAATTGTAAATCGAAGACTGACGGCAGCTGGAGATGGCACTTTATACGATGTACTCATACCCAAGCTGGAGCAGGATATGGCTGATCGGCTGATTAGCAAGGATTATATTATCAGACTGGATGGCGATACGAATAGCACAGAGAAGGGATTGTACTTGGGTCCGCAGTTTATGAGGGCCATTGTCACCGGCGAGAAACTGAGACTTTGTGGAGCTTTTACCGAAAGTACAGCTTTTGTTTAAGAATGGGAAACTATTGTGTAAGTGATAAATGTTATCTTTTAACGGATTTAATCATTGAAGAGCAAATCAGGACAAGAATAATGCTTAGTAAACTGAACGATGAATCAAAATAGAAACCATTACGGTTTTGAATAGAACTATTTGGAAAAGACATGCATTTGCTTCTTAAAACTCCAGGCAGCACAAAAAATATTTAAATATTATAAAATAATATTAGAATGAATAATTTATTATGCTACTCAAATTGGTGTTATTGGTGCTATATGAAGAAAATAAAAAATGCAATTAATCAACTTAATTTGAGAACATCCTTTCTAGTTAACCTTTTTGGAGAATCGACCTCGGAGATCTTGGGCCACATATAATCACATAATCACTTTGCCAGCCGCAAGTCTCGGGGCCAAAAGAAATCCGCATGAAAACCCCACTTGAATGACAGACGAGAAAAGCGAGGAAAGCTCTCGAGTTGCTTTTCTTAAACTAGCAAACTTTGGCCAGGCAGTTGCCGAAATGCGAGGAGGCGGTGCCCAGTTCAGTCTGGGCCATAAGCAAATTGTGGGCCATGTTTAACTGGAATTATTTTAAGCGCACACTTCGGGCCAAGATCCCAGGAGAAAGATGCGGAATTGGGGGACGGAGACGAGGACCCAACCAGACATAAAACATTTCTCTACTGGGCTCACACTCCTCGTCGCTGCTCCTCTGGTTTTGCTGGTAATGTTTTCTCCACTAAATTACCTACGGGCAATAATTGTTTTGTGTACATGTCGGTTGTGCCTGTTGTTGCCTCGTAAAGCCTGCAACAATGTTGAAGCACTATCCCCGTTCTCGCCCCTTTTGCTAACCAAAAATGTAAGAGTGTTAAATAAATTTGTATTTACTGCATTTGAGGGCAGGAGTTATGTGAGTGCCCGGGCTTTTCGGTGCACTTGCCCCGGTGCTTAAATGCAGAAGGGGATCGGCAGACTGTTAGTGCCCAGGCTAACCGGCTTCCACATTCCATTCACATCCATTTAAAGGCTTAAACTTGGTGGTAATAGCGTATATGTAGATTAACTTTGCAACCTTATCGCTTACTAAATTTCGTCGGAGTTTTATGGGAAATAGTTTCAAGTTAGGTAAGGTAAGGTTATTTTTGGAAAATGCGGATAACTTTTTTCAGTGATGAAAATATTTCAAGGATTGTCGAATACATATGAACGGAAGCTAACTTTGGAAAGCCGAAGTTTATATGATTTAACGATTTATCAACAATTTATCAACAATTTTGATAAAAATATAAGGCTTTAATAAAAATGCTTACTATTTTGTTTAAAATTGCTCACTTCACTTTAGTTCATTAATAGCAATAATAATCCATAAAGAAAGTATTTTCAAGCTACTTTTAATAGCAATATTGTTAATAAGAATTTTTAGACCAAGAAAACATTTGATATTTTCTCTTTGCCTCTGCAGATTTAACTAAAATTAGTCTGCCAATAAGCTTTTCGACTTCTCTCTTATTTCTCGGATTTCTTTGACGCATTTTCCCTTTCCTGCCAATGACACCTAGCGGATGATTTTATGACGCCATCAATCGAATCCCACCAAGGACCCCACTCAATGAATTTATTGTTGGCTGCTGAATGCGAATTCATAGCTAGTGGCCATTCCATAAATCAAAGAATAAATTGTGCATACAAAAGCAAGGAAAACATATTTGAAATGATATTCATACACGCAGCTAGATATGTATTTTATATATCTACCTATATTCAATAAAATAATATTGCAAAAAAGGCAAAGAGAAGCTTAATTAAATTCTTGCATTCAATTTGGCATGAAATGGTTCGATTTGGAAGAGGGACAAGTGAAAAGTGAAGTTCGCTTCCAATTGATTTGCTGGCGGTTTTGTGGTCCACCTCTGTTTGTCTATGTGTGTTTTCGTGTGGATGTTACAATCTTGCTGATGCAGTTGAATTTTAATGAAACTCTTTCCTATTTTTTTTATTTTGTGGAGAAAATTGAATTATAGCAAACACACACATATACTCCCACTGAGTCGTCGCTCGTTGAGATTTTCAATTTTCTATTGACCTGACGGGAAAGTCTGAATGAAACGAAAGAAAACTGGAGTATAAAAAAATCATAAAAGTAAAACTCTTCAAGTCCTTTTTCGAGAAACCGGAGGCGATTGCATTTCTACCCGGACCATGAATTATTCAGCCAACAAACTGCAATGATAAGCACTCTTCTACTGCTCCACCCACAGACCATAATTTAGCTGGATTCCCCTCTCTTTCGAATTCACAATAAAATATGCAAAGGCCTCGCCAAGTGCCAGAGACCTTAAATAATAATAGGGCATACTGAGATATCCATGGGAGTAAGTAAGGCCCAAGCCCATCTACCATCTACTATCGCCGCTAAGCTGCACAAATTTGCATATTCATTGCAGAAAGCAAACTGAAAAAAACTGGCTGAACCGAGGCAGATAAGTTTCACAACTCAATAATTAAAAGTAAGCAATAAAATGAAAATCGTGTTTAAAAATCAAGAGGGTGTTAAAAGTGATGGAACTTTTAATACTCTTTTATTTCCATATTACCTGAAAATAAGAGAAACCTGCATTTAAAATGTACCATGCTTTTAAATTTAATTTTGCTTACTAGAATAATATTATGTTGTAAAATATTTATAAATTTAACTTTATTCAATTTAGTATATTTATGTAATTTACATTTGGAAAACACAATCTGAAAAAAAACATTAGTATTCCACCACTTTTATCGTTAGTCTACATAAATCGTAATTTAACGATTACATTATAAATCAGATTTTGTAAATTTAATTTGTTTATTCCCCAATCAGAGCATCCCGTCGGATAAACCCTAGCTACACATGCATGAAAATCTCCCATTAAATGAAAAATTAAGCTTAAATCGTGGCAGAGCATCATCAGCAATGACAACAAGTGGAGTGGCGACGAATTCAGGTGAAGGCAGGTGGGATTACTCCATGTCTTCTTTCATATTCCCCTGTCAACTGCAGCCTCGTCTCGCCTTTAAATCATCCTGTAGTATGTACACTCGTATATTTGTAACTGCAATCTGGGGGAGCACGCGTCTTAAGCGGCTTATTACAAATTTTCAGTTGTTGTATGCATAAGTAAGCAGATGAGTTTAAATTATGAATGCTCGTAGGCAGATTCAAGTGGTTCACCTGCCCTCGAAATTCCCCATTTCCCACCAGATTATTGGCACTTGAGCTCTGCAAAGTGATAGCAAATAATTGTAATTGAAGATGGCAATTGTTTGCCAGCAATTAGCCCCCTTCTTTGCGTATATAAAATGATGTATGCTGAATAATGAATTTTTGTGGAGGCTGCTGATTGACGCCTTCATCGCTTTTTGTTTTCGTACATTTTTTGTGGCTGCGATGAAATCATCTCTTTATATGGCAATATGTTAAACAGGGTTTGGCCATTAAACAAAAAAATGTATTGGTTACTAATATTTTTGAAGCAATATCCGCTAAGTGACCTTAACTAATATGCAAATCGTGGATGGACTAATCGTTTTTTTCTCATAAAATAATTTTCTGGCAGCTTGTGTTTACAAATCTGAGGGATCATATAATATGTTTTTAGTAAAAAAGAGTTTTTGATATCTAATCTTAATATACATTTACTTATCGGTCACTTATTTAAGTTGGATTTCTAAACTTTTTAATAAATCATCACCCAATTTAAGTGAGATTAAGTTTTCCGCACAATTATTTTCCTGTCACGTTGGGAAAAGTGCAAAACAAATTTAATTTGGTTTGACTGTTGGAAAAATAACTTTCCTCTTGTTCAACCGATTTTCCAGTAGCTCAAGTGAGAACCAGAGAATCTGCCAAAATGGGATTATTGATATGAGACTCGTAAACCTTGTTCGCTTGTTTGTTTGTTTGTTTGGTTGTTTTTTTCTTTGCCCCTACCGAAGCAAATATTTGCAATTCGGAGGGGAATCGTACGCTCAGCTTAAAGCTTTAAAAAGTTTGTAATATCGCTGCAGATGGCCACCGAGATGAGGACGAAGTTAAGGCAGCGCAGATCAACTCATCTGTCAGGAGGTTGCCAGGAAAGTGGGATGAAGATGGGTGCCTGAAGTCTGAGGGCTCAGGGGCGGACATTTATTAACATGGCTTGGGTGTGGCAGAAGGGCAGATGCTGCCAGAAAGGTGTTAAGTGGCAGATCCAGACGAGGGGCGAAATGATGATGAAGCGAATCTCACATATCAGCATAAATAAATTTAAGTGTCGAGCGGAGGCACAAAGAAATCTGCGTAAATTTCGCTACCATCCGACCGATGTGGCATAAATATAAATTACCCGCCAAGACGGGCATTTCTTTTTTTTAATGATAAAAAATATTGTAAATGTGTGCCAGCGGAACAGACAAAATATTTATGGTAAATATTCGGCGCGTGTCCGTTGATTTTTCTGCCGCTTCAACGCGGCTTTTTCATTTTTAATGGCTAATTAAATTGGCAAGCAAAAAGCAGAAGTTAAAGTTGAAACAGATTGGCCAAAGAATTTAAAGTGGCCGGCAGGTCAACAAAAATTGAACTTCAAGGCAACAACCGCAGTGGACAAATAAAGACTCGGTTAGATATGTGCTTGCACAAAATCACACATACGCACTGTTGGCCAAGAAAACACTTGGTCTCTCAAACATTTGGGGCATGTTAACTGCGGTCAAAAAAAGAGTTTATTTTATGGAAAGTTATATTTATTGACAACTTAAGTCCATTGGTTCTTAAAATTGTAAATTTAAAAATCCATTCATCAAAGCCTATAATGGTTTGGTAACCCACTTCCACCGACCACCTCATCATAACTCGTTCCATCACTGACCCATTTTCAGTTTTTGCCATTTACGTTTTTGCGTAACGCCGAACGCACCTTACTGCGAATTTACCAGAGGCACTTGGCCATCTCTAATAGGAAATGCATTTGGCGATGTTCAAGTAAATTACGTCAGCGACTTGCCGCAGAAACAGTGGGCGAGGGAAAGAGACGGCAAGAGACAATGTGGAATAAGTGCCAACATGGGCTGCTTAAAGCATACAACAATGCACAGAGAGAAAAACTCCGAAAGACATCAGAAATATTGGCTTATAAATGAGCCCCATTTAATTGTGGTTATAAAATTAAAACGGAAGACAATGAAAAGGCCTTTCATATAATAAATCATTTAATAAATCTATTTTAAAATTTGTAAAAGGTAATTTTTTCACTACCACCTAAAACTATTTTATTGAGTAAAAATCGAAATATATTTCTATAGAACAACATCTTAAATATCGATACGATTAAGTATTACGAGTAACCTTAAGTAATCTTAAGATATGAGTGATATGATAAATAAAGTTCCCAAATTAGTGATGAATACTCATGTACCTAATATTTTTTCACAGTGTACTGTCTCCCCAACATTCTGTGCGTATCTCTGTGTGTTTTTGCTCCAAATATGGGAGCAGAGGCAAAATGGAATTGCCGTTGAGAGTTGAGTTGAGTTGGCTGGGAACGCGCTTCAATACGAATTGGGTCAACTGGCGCATTTTTGGCCCGAAGAAGAGGAAGCAGAATGGGGCGGGAAAAAGGGGGAGGCCCTGCCTAACGGTTAATGTTATTGCGACTTTGCCATTTATCGCCGGCCATTGTTCGCCACAAGCTGAGATTTCCAGCCAACTTTGAGTTGCTTCTGGCTACTTGCTGTGAACAGAAAGTCAAGCGTTTGACTTGACTTTACGACCCATTGAAACGAAAGATGGAAGAAGAAAACATAAAGCCAGCCGAGGAATTAACTGCTTCACTGTGCGTTTGACCCAAGTGCTAAATGCAAATGCTAGCAAATCATCTCTAATTGTTCATCTCTCTGCCGAAGAAGTCACTGCTGCACAATAACTGACAAGATATGGTGTTCAATTTATTTATTGCTCACAATGCTTGAATGGCAAAATTTTACTTAGCTGACAAAAGCATAAAATCATGAATCCTAGGAAAGTGCAATTGACAAATTAAATTAATTTGCTCAAGTGGAAGGGCAAACAATTGGGCATGATTCGCAAAAAGACTTTTATTACAATTTAAGTGAAAACTCAGTGGAGGGGAAGACAAATCAAAGCAAATATGTAAGTAAAATCTTTTGAAATATTTCTATAATTATAGCTTAATAAAAAACTTGTAATTTAAAATCCAAAATTCAGTACCCCAACGCATTTAAAATGTATTAAGGAACTCGGCAAAGCAGTCCAGGCTCGCAAACCGCATAATCAAGTTTTAATTATGCATAAATTGTTCGCACACACTTCCAGCAGCTTTATCAGACACTTGCATAATTATATAAAGTTTCTCTATGACTTACTTTCCATTCGGCAAATCCTGTTTGATATTAAAAATGCGCTCAAGACAAAGAAACATTTGAGGCAAACTCAAACAGTGAGCAAAACTTCAGCAGTTTCTGGGGAAAGTTGAAGAAACGAAAATGACAAGGAGAAGTTCCTGTTCGAGCTCTTTTTGTTTTAGCTGCAGACATTGGCTTGTTGAGAAATTGCGCATATTTCCGTTTCCGTTTCCTGCATAAAAGCGTATGTGTGTGTGTGTGTATGTGTGTGGGTGTCTGTCTGCACTTTTTGCCAACTCTTTTTGCGACCTGAGCTGCAGTTTTGGCTGCCCTTCTGTCGCCCAATGCCTGCGCATAAATTAAGGGTATTATTATATTTTAAACATACGAGCCGCATGGCATATAAATGAAACTTTACGAATTTCAATTTGTAATGAAATATTTGCAGTAACCACGGGCTATTCGTCCACAAATTTATTTATAACTTCTCAACTTTAAACCGGTTGTCCGACATCATGAAGCTTATAATCTGATGACAGCAAAAACCTGACACTTTTTAATATTTTTCAATATTTGGCTCAGACTTTTTTGGTCGTTCGGCATTTGATATTGATGAAATTTAGCTTGCCATTGGTAAAAAATTTGTTATTTTTGATGGCCACACAAATGGGTAAATATATATGTATGATTGGTAGGGGTTTTCCGTGGAGGTGTACAGCTTTCAGGCAGTTCAATCAACATAGTTGACATTTGATGTAAAAACCTTTCAAACGCATCTCGCAGATAACCAGGGTTTTTCGTTATTTTTCATGATACTCTACTGGCAAGTGGGGTATATTCAATAAATATTAATGAATGGCGGACTTAAAATATAAAAAAGGTTTTATTATAAATCCTCTTTTTCGTTTTACCCAAACAAATTTATCAATTCAAGTCCTGTTAACTTTTTTCAATCAACGTATTCATTTTTTAAAGAGTATTCCCCAAAGACGACTCTTTTTCTGATTGCCTGTTTTTTTTGTAGACTTTACTATCCGTGTGAATTTTTACCAATATGTGGCATCCTGTTGACTGACTGCCGACTGATTGCGTATACGCGATGTGACAGTTTGCTGAAAATATGTTGCGTATACGCCCTGTCTACCGCTAGCTACTACACACCCCTTGAGCAATAGTTGCACTGGATGGTGGGGTATGTGTGGCTGCCTGACTGAATCAAGCTGAATGTGATTTTTAATTCTACAATTTTTGACATTTGCGTTTGCATTTAAATTAGATTTTACGAGGCCACAAACATTGACTACCTCCCATTTGAGGGCTGTCGATTGCCCGACCCATCGGGTGAAGTCGAGTGCAGGCATGACAAATGGGATTTCCATTCCTGACTATCTCACAGGATGTGCAGAGTTTTCGTGCATTTGAAAAGGTAACCGAATGTGACTTTGGGCCACAAATCTGGCAGCTTTTACCACTAATTGAAACATTAATTTTGGCCAAATGTCTCAATCGGATTGAAATGACAACGTCTTGCCTGATCGCCCAAGGCCTTTCCACTTCTCGTCGATTTGTCTTAATTGCATCATCTTCACCCACAATCACCCAATCATTTTGCATCTGCGTTGGTTCACACAAAAAAATGTAAGGGCAAGCAGAAAAGAAAAACCACAGAAGCAGCTTCATAAAATTAAACTTAACCGTGTTGATGATGTTCATTAAACGAAAGCAACCATAATAGCTGCCAGGGCAACAAATATTAAACACAAAATGGTGTAAAAATTAATTAAGCCCTAATAGCTGTGAAGCATTTATCGCAGCCACGAAACGAAGCTTGCGTAAAACGCATTCCGTATTTACCCACACCGACCTAATAATGCATAATTTTAATCGCTTCTGCGGAGTTAAAGCGAATTTGAGAAACCCAATTTAAGAGACCATAATTAATAACATTATTTCTTTTATATTCAAGTAATTTTGGTTTACCTTAGTGGCTGCCATAACATTTCATTTAATGATCCTGGGACTGAAAATGCCATTCCCCATTGAAAATATGTATTATAATTTTAAAAGGTTTCCAAAAATGTAGGCTTTTCGTGTCATTTATATAAAGTAAAATAATCTCTCACATTTCAGCAAACTCTAAAGACTAGCAGCTCAAAATCACAAGGCTCTGATTTTTCCATCAACTCTTTATATACTTTTTTATTCCATTTCACAAGCTCGTTTGGTTCAGTTCACATTTCATTTATTCACAATTGTTTCGGTATTGGCCCACATTCGAAAGGCGAAAAATTATTGGAATTGTTTGATAGAACTGCCACTAAATTCGAGCACTTTTGAACAACTGACTCCTTCCAACAAAATGACGTTTACCTACAAGGAATTAATTGACGTGGCCATTGGGTCCCCGGAATCGGGACATGTCAACTTTTACGCCTTGCATGTGCTGCTCACGTGTTTTGCCCAGCGATTGGAGGTCCTAGATGAGGTCGTCGAGCAGGAAGATTACATGGTGGCCAATGTCCGCATGCAAAGCAGTTTATGTGAGTAGAAATGAGAGTTTTCATATATAAAAGCTAGAGTGCCATTTTTATTAGTATTTTCTTAAATTAAGATTGAAAAAATTATAACTCGCGACCCTGAAAAACTATTACATTTTTAGGATAAGATAAAATCTGTTTAAATTTCACAAAATAGGAGTCAAACTGTAAGAATTCTAATAAAATGTATTCCATCTAATCTATTAGTCTATTATTTTATTTAACAAAAGTTTTAATACACTTTGACTATTCGCTAGCTAAAATATTAATATCTTATAATTTGTTTATTTTTATAATTTTGTAGTGACCTTGGGAAACACATCCAAGTTCCGTCTGTTCGCTGGTGAGGATGTAGAAGAAGGCGCAGCCGCTGAGCCGGCGGGTGAGCCGCCAGCCGAGGAGGCAGCCCCTCCCTCTCCGCCCGCCGAAGAAACGCCCGGTCCAGCGCCTCCTGCACCGACTCCTGCTGCAGAGGAAGCGGCTCCAGAAGAGCCACCACCGGTGGAGCCACCTCCGGTTGAACAAGCGCCTTCGGAAGCTGCCGTAGTAACGCCAGAGGCAGTGGCATCCCACGAACCCACTCCTGCTCCAACTCCTGCTCCCGAGGAACCGATGGCCCCTGAAGCCGGGGAAGCATCCCCAAAGGCGGATGGCAAGGCAGATGAGTTGGCGCCCCAGGCTTCCAGGGTTTCTTCGAGATCCTCCACTCGGGAAAAGTCCCACTCGCGACTCGATGGATCGCTGGTCAACAATATCACGCGTCTCGAGAGACGCCTCTCCAAGATCGAGTTGCACAAGGAGCAGGCCAGCATGGAAATGCATCAGTTTGTGAGCAATCTCACTGGACAACTGAAGATCACCATGGAGCAGGTGAACAATGTGACCCATATGCTGATCGATAGGAAACCGAATCCGCAGAGGATAAAGATACTCCGTCACATAGCCAAGCAGTTGAGAGTGCTGATGGGTACGACTGGCGATGAGGTTTCAGTTAGTTGGTCCAGTGGCGACATAGTCGAAGGTGATGAGGAGGAGGGTCTCCTGGAGGAGGAGGTCCAGGAGGAGTCATCTGCACCCACCGAAGTGGAGAAGCCCGAGGAGGAGGAGGAGTTGGGCTTGGAACAGCCACTTTGCTATTCGCCCGAGAAAATGTTAAGTGAGCTGTTGGATCTTAAGTCCCAGTTCTGTGCCCTGACCAACAAGGTCAATGAACTGGCCGCGGCTCTCCTGAAGCAGGACTCCCAGAGACTCATGGACATGATGAAGGATCTCTCCGATACAGTGCGCGAAATAAAGCTCTACATGGCCAGTAATAAGGAAGCGACTAGCACCATGATGACTCGCCTCAATGATTGCGTAAATCAAATACAAATCTTGAAGAAGTCGGCTGCCCATTTGGATGAGGTGAAGATTGACAAGACGGAGGTGGAACTTTTGCTCGCCGAGAAGGTGGACTTCCAGCAACTGGCCACCAAAGTGTCGCTGGAGCAACTCGAGGAGTACAAGTCCAGATTGGAGCAGATGTTCTGCGAAGTGCGGCATATCGTAAGTCTGAACGAGAAGAATGTGCTGCAGATCATCGACAACCTGCGAATGACCTTGGGCATCGATGCACTGGAGCTGAGTCTCAAGGACTTTCGGGAGATGATCGAGAGGAGGGTTCAAATGATAGCCGAGGCCCTGCAGAAGTACATGGAGATGACCAACGATGATTGTGCCGCTGCCGCTGGCAGGGTCAAGGTCATGCAGGACCTGGCCTGTTTGGCCTGCGACACCACCTGTGTGATGCGCACAGTGGAGCGCTCCAAGGTGCCATCCCTGCCGAATGCCAAGGGCTCCACCGGCCTGGGTCCCATTGTCACCTACGAACTGGGCCAGATCCGCAAGTCCGGCATCATGGGATACTATCGGAAGGACGAGTTCCCGCACTCGACAAGTGCCTGGACCAAAGGAGCCACCGGAGTTCCCATGGTCAAGTGCACGGCTAGACATGCGGGCGGAAGCCACACCACCCACACCGCGGATGAGCACATGCAGAAGGTCGTGCTCTCCAAGAAGAACACTGGATGGACATAAAACCAGAAACACTTATATATCCTTTATCTACACGTAGTTAACTACTGTAGTTATCTCATTGTTACACATGATAACTTGTCAAAATTAAATATATTGCAGTGTGCAAAACAATAAAATGGATATTCATAAAGATTAAGATCAGGCGACATCTAAAAATTACATTCAGTCATAATAAAAATAGTATGGTGTGTATTTGTGTGCTCTTATGAAAAAAGTTTCAAAAGTAGATTTAATTTTCTTTTGTGTCTGTCAATAACAGTTTACGAAACTCTTACATATTTAAAACATAAAGCCACCCTGTAAAAAACAATTAATATGCACAATATGTAATATCCACACTCTAGATCCCATATCCACATATTATAATCTCAGAACACACAAGACACACTTCAATTTAATATTCATTGCATCACCGTATAATACTACAAGAGAATTAAATAAAATATGTTGACTGTAAGCGATTTATGTTAATGGACTTTTTGGCCAAGAGCATTAATTTTCAAGTTTCCATGACTGTGTGCGACACTTTAAAATTGTCATTGATTGCACTTTTTTACTGTGAGATATTAATTGACGCCGTTACCTACAGCAGTCGCAAATTCACGGATATATATTTTAAAATATTTATTTTCGTTTTGCGGCTCATTTAAATTTAACTTCGCATTGCAGCATTCGAAGCGTGCTTGTGGCAGCGATTGATAAACATTTTTTTATTGTCCCGTTTGGGTGTGAGTTTATTTCTGCTACGGATTCTGGGCTTAATATGAATAACTTGAATGGACTGTCAGGGCTCGTTTTAATAGGCTAACGATTAAATGCATAAATTTGCAATTAATTGAAACAAGCAAACAGCTACAAAACATGACAGGAATAAATATAAATAAAATCCTGATGGGGTTGTTCGAAGGCCATCAGCCGGAATGTAAAAAAAGAGACCCGTAAATATGGCAAAAATGTCATTTACCCTTGTTCAAATGTTAACTACAAAGGCGCACTTCCTTCCATATAAATTTTAAATTATTCATCATATTAGTCGGCTGCCATTTACATATTGAACATGAATAATTGAGCTGAGAATATTTAAACATCTTTACTATGATTTAAACATCCATAAATTTTAAATTGGAAAGTATGCAAACACATATGTGCAATTAAAATTAAAAAATTCAGAAATTGTTATTTATCTTGTTTATTAATTATACACAAATAAGTTTTACAAAGAAGTCAGCAGTTATTATTATATACTATTATATGAAGCATTAGCAAGGCCTTTAAGAACTTTTATATAAACTGAATTGACTGTGGCAAACAACTTTCATTTGATGTTTTGATTTACCAAAATGGTAAAAACAAGTGCTCGGCATTAAGACCACATAAGTGAGCGCTGAAATTAATTAGAGCCAGCAATGTAAAAGAGAGACAACAGCAACGAAAATTAAATGGAAACAGGTCAGTGCATAAACTGCAAGTAAAACGGGCGAAGCCGGAAGGCGAAAAAAGGCCAAATGTAAACAGAAATGGACTCAGTTGGCAAAACAGTAGCAATAACAGCTATTGAAATAACTAAGTAAAAATTACACAAGGAAAAACATATCTTAAATGTAAAAAAATAACCAAATTGTCAAAAATGTAATACCATTTACCCCTTTAATTGGTTTAAAAGGTTGGTTTAAACATAAATCATTGAAGGTAATATTTCTTAGTATCTTAACTTTTTCTTTGTGCATCGATGACAGGCGACTTAGGTAAAAGCGGCAATAATGTCAACTGCAACTCCATGAATTGTGCAACGGACACCGCAGATGGCCAACGAGGGAAAAGAAGCAAACAGAAAGGAAAACAAAGACATCGGGCAAATAAATTAAAATGCAAATTTAAACGAAAATGAGTGTAAACAGTAAACACTTCAGATTGGGGTCTGAGTGCAAGGCTTCGACGGAAGTCTCTCGATCTCGACATCGTGGAAAGCAAAAGCCAAAAACCAAAAACCAAGTCGCGGAAATGACCCAAAAAAAGGTAGAGACAGACACTGCGCCGGAAAAAAGTATGCATGGGAAGAAGATGCGCCATTGTTGTCGCTCTTTGAAGGTCACATTTGGAGTGGGCGGGAAATCGGGTGGGCGGGGGCCGAGGAAAGTGTTGAGCTTGAGCCAAATTGTTGAGCCAATTTCCACGTCTCACTTACCCCATAACCAACATCGATTGCGGCACTCTGTTATCTCTGTGCAAATTCCCGAGCTTTAAAACTTTGCAGACTCACCTAAAAAGAAAAGAACATATATGCAGTGATTAATATTGATAGTGGGTAATAGTAACTTTTTGATTTGCCCGGCCGAAAAAGGGGAAAACTTTAGTTGCGCATGGAAATTATTTATTGCATGTGGGGCTGAGAAGTCCGCATTTCCATTCTGCGGTTTTCTCTTCCTCCCCTTGATGAAATAAAAAAGCTGAGGAAAAGTTTCGCAACAATATTTCTACATTTCTACACAAAACTCGATGGAAAAGTTCTTTTGTAGCTAAATGGTGATATACAAATAAATAATAAAAGACAAATAATTTGTGCGGAATGTTTGTGGTCCACCAAAAGTAAAAAATTTGAAACATTTGTAATGATGAAGTTTGACCTGAATTGGTCATGTTTTGAAAGAAAGAGAAAATGGTCATCTTTAATGCATTATTTTGATATTAAATTGAATATTGACTGAGAACATGAAATTGAAGATAACATGAAAATTCGATATTACCATTTCTTTTTGTACTCAAGTTAAAATCTGCTCTTAGCCTAGGCTTCCTAGCTCAGTATTGTTTTTTCTTTCTTAAAGCTTTTACAACGAAAATATTCCATGGAAATATGTATACATTTTTTACAAATACTAAGAGTTTCATACTTTAAATTGAAGAAACAAATAAATTGAAAAAAAAGCAAAAACCCAAGATAAATCAAACCAATCTAATGAACAGAAATTCAAAGTTGGCTGGTAAAAAATGTAATCAATATCGCAGCTCAGCGGGGCAGCTTACATAAGCAAACACAAACACTCTCACATATGCGAAATCGTTTCCATTTCAAAATAGCCAAATGATGTTTAAGTTGGAATTCAATTTGGAGGCGATAGAACGAGGAGAAAGGTTTTCCATCAGAGTCAGCCAAGAATGGAAGTCAAAATGAATTATTGCTCTTGGGCCAAACTCATTTTGGCTTTTATGTGCGTGTGTGTGCAAAAGTGTGTTAAATAAACATAAGAGGACCAAAAAAAAACAGACATACAAGTCGTAGTTGAAAAGAAAGGCATGTTCGGCATTATCTTGCCTGCTATTTTCAACTTTTTTTGGCCCGAAGTAAAATGACTTGGGGCTAAGACGAAATAGCCTTGAACTGCACAGTTTGACGCAGCTGAGCAACAAATAAGCACAAACATATTTCACTCAAGTTTTTCTTGTATTTCCTTCAAAAATTTGTTTTGTTTTCTTGCCAATATAAATATATATATTTTTTTTATAAATATTCTTACCTAAACAAAGGATTTTTATATGATTTATTATGGGTAAGCTGATATAATCTTTAATTAAATGCATAAGCCTATTCCAAAATTTTATCAGTTTAATTTTGGAAATAACCTTAAATTACTGCACTCCGGTTTTATATAACTTTGTAATTTACTTTTGGTCGCCTTGCACTTCTACTCAGACAAACATTAAATCTGTATTTATTTGTATATTTCTAACACAAAGATATACAAACGAGAGCCATCTTTGTGGCTGTTGCTCTTGCTGTTATGACTTGTTTGGGTATTTTTCTGGTCGGAGAGACATTTGCATAAACCGCAAAATCTGCTTGTTTTGAATTAGCATTTTTTGTTGTTGATGCTGAGGTTCTTTTTTATATTTTTTTCGGTTGTTCAAGTCCGTCCTATAATTTCTTTGGCTCTGCCTCCTCATCTCTGGTATTTTATCTGGCCTTTGGGCGGTTTTTTAAGAAAAATATTTCAACGAGCTAACTTAAATGTTTGTTATTTTTATATTTTTATGTGAGCCGCTACAAAAGTGATATATTCGTAAATTTAAATCTGTGTTTTATATATATATGCATATATATATTATTCAGCCCGAAAACCTGCTGCTGGGCAAGTGCAGATAAAAAGGAATGGAGGAATGAGAGGCGAAATTTGGGGGAAGTCTTCCAGCTGGCATCTTGTATATTTATCTTTATTAGCCATTCATTCATGCGTGACTCAAAAAGAGCATGAAGCACACAAAACTTTTGCCAGCATGCAAAAATTAGATAGGGGCGGGCCACGCCCATACAGACAGGCAAAAAAGAGACAATGGCCAACTTAATAAGTTATCAATCAAATTTCGTCAATCGTTTCGGGTCAAAGCAATCAATTTGCGTGATAAAGTCAAATGCCTGGACAGGATCCGGTGAAGGATATCTTTCAACCGAACTGCCCCGCCCCTTTTGGACCTTTCGCCCCTTCAACCATTTTGGCCACACTCCGTGTTCAATCCTCTCTTGGCCATCAGTTTTTGGCATTGTTTGTCTGACAGTTGTAAAGTGATTTGCTACGTGAATTGGGCGATGCCATTGGGATCGAGGGAAATGGTGTATTTTGGGTGGAGATGAAGGTTGCCTCAGAATTGGAAAATATGATTTGTATACATTAAGAGATTTGTTGTCAGTCCATGGACAGCCAAAGATGATTTATATTAATATAATGCATGTGACAGAAGATGTATTATTTTCGTCGTGGCATTGTCCGAAATAGAATACATGAATATATTTATGCTGCAGTTTGTTGTTGGACTAATTAAGTCCCATGGGGAATCATGCCTGTTATGTTTGTAAACTTCAGCGTATTTGAAATGCAAGATTGGACTGAAAATGGCTCCAAACCCTGTCAATGTCTCATTCAGCTTATTCACATGGAATAATAAGAATTAATGAAAATAATTTCAGAAAATTAACTATCAAATTAGGTTTAAAAGGAGAAAACTCTTATCCTACAAACATTTATTTCTGTAACCAAACCAAATAAACCAAAGTATGAAAGTTTAAACCTTGACCCAAATTATCTAGCTCGTGAAAAGTAAAAGTTTATGCAAATAAAATGTTACAATGCTTCTCCTTCATTAGTGTAATATATAACAATAAAGCAAACAGCCAGCAGTAACCATAAAAGCTAACGTTCTCC